AGGTTTTAATACCAGAAATACTTTGTAATAAAAAAGAAATTATTACCAAAAATAATTTTTGAAGGAAAAAATTATTATCAGCAATACTTAAAAAAAAATACCAGCAATACATTCTTTGAAAAAAATATGACCAGCTATAGATTTCTTCAAGGAAAAATCTTCTCAGCAATAGATTTTTGAAGAAAAACATTAACAGCAATAAAAATTTTGTCGGCATTAAATAACCCATTGAGGTTGATATGCCATAAAACAAAACAAACCAAACCAAACCTAGTGATAAATAGACAAGGGGAAACTCCAAAAGTAATGGTTTGTTATTATTTCTATAGAAACTACAATAGATATAGGGACCATGATCATCATCTTGCGGCCTCGGCCGAGATTGAACTCACCAATACTTTGATTGGTGTAGTTCATAATCTTGTCAAATAGCTGAATTCTTGATGCTTCGCTAGGGCTATTAAGGGTGTTTTTATCGTGACACCAACACTAAATGGATTGCCAACCAAGGCTCAGAGAGACTCCATTCACCCTCCTCTAAGAGCAGGTTTGAATTCAGAGTTTTCCTTCTCCTAGACCAGTTGCCATCCAAGGCTATAGAACCCAGTCTGTCCTGCTATTTACCCATAGTTGGAGGGAGAAGAAAGAGGATTCACACCTTTCCCAAGGGTGTTAGCACGTAAGTGAATGTAATGGATTTGACTGGAATTCGAACTCTGCTCTCCGATTCATCAATCCAAGCCGCTATCCATTACTCCACTGTGTCTCCAAGGGACCATGATAACACCATTGACTAAACCAAGTTTGCAGCTACAAAACACTATTTTTCAACATAGTCACCTCCATTGGCCATGCTTTTTTTCCCAGGGATGAACAAGAGTTAACATATCTGTCTATATCTTCTGAGATGAGCTATTATGATTACTTACATTATTCAGATTGTTATCCTCATCTTCATTGTCATATTCACAATATTTCAGTCATTGTACACTTTGGCCTTCAGGTGATTGGAATTTTGAACCAAACCAAGGGCACATGGCCCAATGGATTTGTTAGAACCAGTGACTAGACTCAAAGAGTTGTGAGTTCAATACCAGGCTACAGCAGTGGTGAACCAAAAAACTTAGAGAGTTGAGTTAAATGGAAATAACTGAGACACCTGGAAAAGGCATGGCATGTAGAACAATCTACCCCTAGTGGATGAAATAAAGGGTTTGGTTCAAAATTCCAATCACTTGAAGAAGACTGGAATGTACAATGGCAATGAAGATGAGAATAGCAGTTCGAATAATGTAAATAATGTGAGTAAGAGTTTACATGTCAGCCATGATGGCATATTATATTGTAAGGTATATTACTGATATAGAATAATACAAGGGACGCTCCAAAAGTAATGCCTCCTACATATTTCTATGGTAACAACAACAGATACAGGGAGCACAATAACACTGTTGGATAGAATAATCTTTCACCTACAAAGCACTGTTTTTCAACATAGTCACTTCCATTGGCCATGCATTTTCACAATTAATGAACAAGAGTCTACATGCCTGTCATGATGGCATATTATATAGTAAGTTATATTAGTGATATAGAATAATACAAGGGACGCTCCAAATATAACGCCTCTTATTTATTTTCATGGAAACTACAAGAGATAGAATGGATATGATAACACCGTTATCTAGACTAAGTTTCCAGGTACTAAACACTATTTTCCCACATAGTCACAACCACATGCTATGCATTTTCAAGGTTATCTTCATGTATACCCACTGTGCTCACATACACTGTTTGTTCTCCATAAACGTTCAGCAAGTGCTAATGAATGTCAATGATTGCATTTCTCCATATGCAGGAATTCAAAGGCACACCTCTTTTTCGTACACACTTTCGTGTCAGATGCCATTTTGCCAGATTGCTATTTGTAACAAGACTAAGTAAAAAAAAAAAAAAAAAATTATTGTCGAGATACTGCTATACTACCAATATCCGCTTTTAATGTAGAATAAATAAAATATATTTTCGGGGTGACACTCGTACAAACCAAAACCACATTGAATTTGTACGTTTATTTAAAAACAGAAGCACTGTTGCTTATTCTTTCAATTCCGTTTGTAATATTTGAAAGAAATCATCTTGACCTGTTGAGCCACACTTCCCCTCGACTCAGATTTAAAAAGCGGATGAATATATATTTGTGCTTGAAAAGCGCTTTAACAATAACAGCAACAAATAGGTTTTTCCACTTGTGATTTAAGCCAAGGAAGGGCAGTTTTTTATTGTTTGTTTAATCTCCTTCCAAACAGCTGTAATAAAGCCTCAAATAATCGAGACAGATTACATATGGAATTAGGATGATTGACATGAAAAAGAAAAAGAATTAAACAGCCCTGAACAACTTTCGACTTAAGACATGATTATATCCACAATTCTCTCTCGCACACATGATGGCTAATCAAGTTCGCCACTGAACTATCAATATAAACCTCTCTTTGTAAATATACTCAGAGTTCAGTTTTTATAACAATCGTCTAAAATCCTGATTGCATTTTTATATTTTATAATCTTGATAATTGGTTGAATTTGAATATGGTCATTATCCCATCTATATTGCTTTTTTTTCTGGTAAATCAGCTATTGCTCTTCACAGCCATCATCAGTTTCGGGATGAGATGTCATTATATCTCAGTGTTTTATTAGGATTTTAGCATCATCATCATTACGTTTGTTGCCGCTTCCCTATATTTCCGTTTTGTTTATCAAAGATTCAGCATTAATTTAAATAACATGGAAATGGTTGATATGCCGTAATAAAAAGAAAAGAAAAACAACCCACTTTGAGTGTATTCAAAGAAGCCCTCTTCACGTGCAAAGTCGGGTTTATTTTATTTTAACTCTTTTCGGTTATTTTTTTTTTTTAAATGTTCCTATCGTTAAATTCCGGGTTACGCCTATTCGCGTTGCTGATGCTGACTCTTCTTGTAAAGAATTATAAAACGGAAACGAAACAATGAACCTGTATAAGATTACTACGGCTTATCTGTGTGTAATTTGATTAATCTTGCTTGTTGGGTGATGGTAGATTTTAAATACTCAATCTAATCTGACGATATCAGCTCAACCAAATATATTAAAAAAAAAAAGGCAGACGACACATACACAAATGAAACTAAAAGCCAATATCCGCAATTACTCAGTGACATGGGCTGACATTTAATTTAATGTTTTTATCTTTTTTATTGTTCATACGAACAAAAGTCGGATTTAAATTATTTGATTTCGTTTCAGATATTAAAATAATAACTTTTAAATTACTTGTATATTTTTCATTGATATAAAATTAACTAAAACTACTAAAAATGTAACATTTGAATGAATGAAAAAGAAATCGTTGATATATTATGTATATATATATATAATATGAAAATAATAAATAAACATAATAATAAAATAATAAATAAAATAAATATGCGAATAAAATAAGAGAAATAAAAATAAAACGCTGAAAACGTTCAAAAGAAACAGAAACTGAATGTATGTGACGTTAAAAATAAAAGCAATAATAATAATTATTATTATTATTTTTTATTATTATCATTAATTATTATTATAATTATTACTATAATAAATTACAAATAATAATAAATAAACAAAAATAAACAAAATAAATAAACTGTAAATAACGTTGATCTTGATTCTTGAAATGAAATATGAATGAAAAAAAAAAAAAAAAAGAACGGGTAAAAAAACGCAAACATTATAATTATCAATAAACAAATTTATTATTTTTTTTATATCAGCAAGAAGACGGAACATATGCCTCTTCAAGTAGACAAACAAAAAAACATCCAAGATGAAAGAATACAATTTGAAGGGCTGGCAGGAATAGTTTTAATTATTTTTACCTAAAGAATGAAGAAGCCGTCCGTCATATCGAAAGGCATAGACAAAGAAAAGAACTGACCAACATTCTAAGACTGCTTGTTAGTTTCGTTCGGTTTATGTTTCTTCATCAAAGAAATCAAGTTTTTTGACACTCTTTGTCCGCATTTTCAGCACATAAATTAATTACAACTCATGTTAATAAGGAAAACACTCTTCATTTTTTGGGCTAAATTCAAATTGTAATTTAATTTCAGTTGAGTTGCATTCCTTCGCTTCATTATTTCTCTCAAAACAACAGATGTGCCATGCATTTCCCAAGTATTTTCGTTTTTATTTTAATAAACTGAAACTCCATGTGAAATTCATTAACTCTGGCAATATCAAGCTATTCCTGTTTTTCATTTTTCTTCTTCTCTTAGAGGAAAACTTCTTAAAATACTTCTCGCATGAAAATAAGGAATGTATTTTTAATCTAAAAACGATATGTTCATTGAGAATGAATGAAGCTAAGTAAGTAAGTCAATAAGTCGCTATGAAGAATATTTCTTACTCTACAGTTCATCAAGTCGTGCATCTTAAACACAGTTTCTTTTGTTGCAAGTAAAGAATTTCCCAGTCGCTTTTAGTTTTACTAAGGTAGATCTGTACAAGAAAGAGATTATAAACCGGAAAGAAAACACTAAAAAAAAGAAGCAATTTTTCATGTTTTTTCTCAAGGATTTTTTTTTTTTTTTTTAAATAACTGGCCATCGTCAAATTCAAAAAAGAAAATACTATTTTGCTTTTGTTTTGTTGCATGTGGGTGTGTGGATGCGTGACATCCGAAAATAAGAAAAAAATTAAAAATCATGTGTGATTAAGCGATCTAGGAAGAAAACATTAAAAAAAAACAAAACAAAACAAAAAATATCTGCCGCCATTTTTAAGACAATACCATCATTTAAACTAAACAGAACCATGTGAAATTGCCGAATGACAAAAAAGAGAATGTTCAATTAAATTATGCAAACATTGCAAAAGAAATTAGAATAACAGTGGTTACTGTCAAAGCTTTTTTGTTTTTAATAAATCAAATATTATTTACCTGTCAAGTACAAGCTCCTGCAACTGACTTAAATCGCAGGCTATATATTCCAAGGAAGCATCCGTAATTTTCGGACACCAAGATAAGTCCAGAAGGCGTAACTTGCGAAGGTTTTCCGCAATTAGCTCTACCCCATCGTCGGTGATTTTACTACAGCCCGACAGGCTGAGGACGGTGAGATTAGGCAAGGAATGTACAATGTTAACAATGCCATGGTTTGTGATTTCCCAACATGATTGCAGGCGAAGAATGCACAGTGTGTAGCTCTGTTTGGCACTAAAGAAGGAAAGAGCGGCATCGGTTACATGATAAGCCTGCAGGTTCAACTCGTAAAGGGCGGGGAGCAGCTGAGCAATGGCCCCCACTGTGTCGTCGGCTACGTTGATGCAATCACTAACAGATAACGAGACAATCTTGGGGTTCAAACAGGACCAAAGACCCGTCTCAGTGATTTCATTACAACCGGAAAGTTCCAAGCGATACACACATGTCATTTTTTTAAACATCAACTCTAATCCGACATCGGTAACATTCGAACAACGCACACTGACCGACCTTATTTGTTTTCTACACGGTGGGAAATTGTTCACAAAATCCTGAATGTCTTCGTCTGTGGCCCCGAACAGACAGATAGAGTCAAAACCCCGCAATATGAGGCTCTCAAAGAATTTATTGCGTCCCTCGACATCATTACACCATTTGCGACACGATATTACCGGTATTACGTCTGTCCAATAGCAGACATTATACAATATGTTTTTCCATCGCTTGCAGACTCGCGCCAAATCGCCTTTCTCTTCGGGCGAGAAATAGGCGAAAAAACGAGAAAGAAATTTCTCATCCAGAAACAGTTCTTGGATGGAAGTCGGACAATACCTGCCGTTCATAATTCGCATTCTTTTCGCTGCCAAAGAAGAGATTGTTGAAGAGGTTGTCGCAGACGGTGCATTGACGACATTGTTGTTGCCGGACTGGTTCGTTTTAGAGAGACGCAGGATTTTACCTCCGACACCGGTGGTTGAGGGCAAAGTACTTGCGGCCGCTGCTGACTTTATTGTTGATGGAATCGGAGTTGTTATAGTTGACGTGTCTTTTGTTGACGAGCTGGCAGTTGATGCAGCCGGGGTTGTCTGGTCCCTGTGTAATCTTAAACCCCGAATTCCATTCGACAATTCCATATAAGCTCTGCGTATAGTCGACATGTTATTTCGTGTACCCCAAACTGTCCATACACAGGCACACGCTCGGCATGAACTAGGGCCACTACTTCGGGCTGAACAAGAGCTACATGGGCATTTTTTCTCGCTGTTGCTTGGATAAATAGTTTCTTGTTTTTTCCGACGACGTTTGCTTTCTTCCTCTTTTGACCCTTGAATTTTTGCAGTTTTTTTCTCGTTGTCGCTAGTAGAAATTGCTTGAATAAGTTGTACTTTTAGAGAGTATCTGATGTGACTACACAGCTTGTTTAAATTAAGTCTAACTCTCTTTGATAACGGGGAATAAAAGTATAAATTGCAATGAGTTTAAAGTCACAGTAAGGATGAATAAAAAATGAGGGTTTTAAGTTGCTCCTTATCAATCTGAGGGTAATTTCATTTTCCTCTTCCCAATGAAACTATGTTGCAGTAAGTGTGCTTACCGTAGTGCGATGTTTGTTAGCAAGCTCGACTCGCAGGCCAATTTGCTTGCGTTGTAAATTTACTTCGCACTGATGACTCACTACAACGACCTTGTGCCAGACTAGATAAAAAGAATATTCGCGCTGGCTGGATTAATCCGAATAAGTAAAAGATCTTGACAGCTTGAGCCGCGTTATTTTTTTTTTTTTTCTGTCGGGATAGGATTTTTAAGAAAATAAAATTGAAAAATAAATATTTAGAGAAAAGAACAGCGAATATAAAATAATTTTCCGGAGGACTTATTTGATGCTGTTATGAAAAAGAAACCGAAAGAAAAAAAGACTTAATAAAAATATCTCATTGAAACGGGGGGGGGGGAGAGAGAGACTGCTTGTGTACACTGTTGGTTGGGAGAAAGAAGGGACAAAAAGCAAAAATAAAATATAACAAGACCGGCTCTACGGTGCCGCCGATCAAAGTTTATAATAATTAGACCTGCAAGCTATTATAACAACAAAACTAACGATGTTAAATTGTCTCAATATCTATTAACAAAATTAAACAAATTGTTATTGCTATTTCATTAAAAAGCACTGGCAAAAAAGCTTTATAAGGAAAGGTTGTTTTTTTTTTTTTTTTTGTGAGTAATCTTTTGGTTTTTTTATGCAATATTGTAATAAAAAAGGTTTTTTTTTTATTTTTAAAATAAATTAAGACACGCGATTTGAGTGAGAATATTTCTTTTTATTGTTACGTTTAGATAATTATTTTAATTTAAATTTAAAAAAAAAAAGGAAAATTAACGATTTTTGTTAATTAATGTTTTTTTTACAGAAAAACAATTACCGAAAAAAAGGCTTTAATTTTCAATTAATTTATAAAATAATTCTAAAAACTGCATTGATTTTATTTTCAAGTTTTTCTAGCAATATCTATTTTTAATACATTTTTATTTTCTTTAAATAGATCGATTATCACTTTTGTTTTAACGTTATCTGTTCATGTCAGCTACAGCACAAATAATCGAGATGTGAATTCGAATTTACTACAAATATTATATTACTGCTTCTAATATTGACTACTGTTCTGGTCATTACAACCATGGCCGTGTGTGTGTCTGCTTGACTCTAGATTTTTATTTCATCGCGATCTATCGAGCAAATAAGAGAGAATTTGTTTTTTTTTTAAACATATACAATGCATTCCTTCCCAAAATATGTACAACAAAGGCTTCCTTCTTTGCTTGGCAAGAAAGAGAATAACAATAAGCACACACACACGCATACACACACACACACACACACGGGGTTCTGTCTTTTCTAATCGATTCTAAAAATGGGTTTGTTAATATTATTTAATTTATAAATAAATAAAGAAAACAAAGAAAATAACACTAATGATAATTTAACCCGGGAGAACGTTTATCCGAAGCAATTAAAAAAGAAAGAAAAAAAAATCCCAAAGAGAGGGAGAGAGAGAGAGAGAGAGAGAGGGGGGGAAAGGAAAGAGAAACTGTTGAGGTTGTCCGGAAAGAAAGACTAGAAAAATAAAATCGATAAATTGGAATTATTGATTATATTTTAACAGAATATAATAATAATGATGATATTAATAATAGTAACAAATTACGTTAGTTTTTTGGGTTTTTTTTTTTTTAGTTTTATTTAAAAATTGGAATTCGCGTGCAGAAGAAAAATAACTTGGGGCAAATTTAGTTAAATAATAGATTCATTTCAAAAACTATCAAATCTTATCCACTCTTGGAGAAAACAAAAGATCGATTTATATTGTCGCAATTATATAAAAAAAAATGAATTATAAAAACAAAACAGATTTTTAGGAGAAAGAATATAACATTAATGATTCCTTTATTTATGGATTGATTGAAATAATTTATTTAAGTTTTAATTAAGTTAACTATTGCTTTCTTTTTTCTTTCTTTTTTTAAGCCGGTTCTTAAACAACCGGACCAGAAAATAGTTTAAAATGTGTCAACAATTGAATAATAAAAATATTTAAAAACCTGTGAATGTGGGAAGTCGAGAAGAAAGATTTTTAGAAAAGTGAAAAAATTGTAAAGATGAAGAAAAGGAGAACAATTTTAATCAGACCAGTTTGATCGGCTCTCGGGACTGATATTCAAATTAACAGCAACAACCAACAACTAGAAATTTTAACAACGATAAAAAAAAAAAGCTTTATAACTATTATTATTTTTTTATTATTATTATTCTCTTCTTGCAAATTCTATTTCAACAAGAAAAGAATCAAGGTTTCCCCCTTTCACTTTTCTTTTTGTGAAAAAAATTATTGCTTGGGGCTGTATTCTATAAAATACGTCCTCATCGATGCTTTGTCTGGTGAATAGGTTCTTCTTTTTTTAGTTTTAATTTTTTAAATAAAATAAGATGGAATGATTTTTTAAAGCTGTGTCAAACGTAGAGCTAAAATAAATCTGCAATATCTGAATTTTAAGGCAAATTATTTCTTTTTAAATTTAAACTTGTTTAATTTGTTTCAAATTGCGTGTGTGTGTGTGTGTGTGTGCTTTCTCATTGTGTTTTCATTCTTTTTGTTTTGTTTTGTTTTTTTTATTTTAATAATGCGTTACTGATATGTGTGTAGCAGTTTGAAAGTAAAGAGACGAGAAAGGATTTTATTTTTCTGTTTCACTCTTTTTCTTTTCACTCGAAGGGGGCAGACAACGTGGCTTGTTTGTTATTGGAAGAAAGAAAAATAACAACAAAAATCATAGAAGAAGAATTATATCTCATCTATGATCGCAATTAAAAAGCAATTGAAATGAATAAGCTGCGATCCTGCCGTCGTTGGTGTTTAGAAAGAGAGGTACTATCCCAATTAAATATTTTTTTTTCGATGCGGCTAAATAACGCCGTATTTCTTCCCGTTTTCCTGAAGCGTAAAATAGCCAAATTTTTAAATTCTTTGGATAATTCCAGTTGATTTTTTTTTAAAAAAAACAACAGTGTTAGTAATTCACAGTAATTCCCGTATGAAGAAAAAGAATCCGCATTTTCAAAATGCAAGATCAGTCAGTGGTATCCCGTTTTGCTTCGTCGTAATCTTTAGCTGTCGTCAAAGGTACAATTGTCCCTGAATGAAAAATAAATGGATTTGTTTTGTATGTACAAATATAATATTTGACAAGAATACGCATTTGTGCTTGTGTTTCATGTAAAAGGTAGAAGTGTATCCCTATGTACACTTGTCATTTTGCTTTGGCGAAATGATTTTTATTTTGAATATTACACCACGTTGGTATATAGTTCCTACTTTCTGTTTTGCTTGTAGTGATATTTTTCGCCTTCCTGCTCTTATCTCTCTCTTATATTCTTGGTAATCTTTCACTCGCTCTTTCTTTTTCTCTCTCCTTCACACACACGCGTGCACACAACACACACTTGCGCACACACAATAACCCACGTTCGTTTTTTTTTGTTTTTTTTTTTGTACTATTTTTTTTTTAAAAATACGTGTATAATTGAATATATCTAAGAGCACTTGTTTCTTTTTGTTAAGGGTGCTGCCTTACAATACGAACACCCAATAATTGCATTTCCCTGTTTATTAAAAATTATTTTTATCCAATTCGTTTTTCTTCCTTTGTTTGTTTGTTTTTTTGTTAATTTAATCTTTTTTTAGATTATTTTTTTTGATTTATAGATTATTTTCCACTTTTAAGAAAATTGAAACAGTTTTTTTGTTTCCTTTGCCTCTGTCATCATCCGGGAGAGATATTTCAAGAGGTGTGCTTCGAGTAAATTCTTCTTGTGGACTACTACAACACCGACCACGCATGTTGGCGTCAAATAAATGTGTATGCGTTTTGCTATAGGATATTATTACTTACATAACTGTTAGTGTATCACTTCTTAGTAGCGTGTAAGTGTGTGTAGTACGACAGATGAAAGTGCGTTTAGGTTGGCGCTGTTTTAAGCAGGGGCGCGTGTGTTCATTAAAGAGCAGGTCCGTCTTGAAAACTGTCATCAAAGTCATATCCCACAACTATGATGGGGTGTTCCGCTCCTTCTTTCTTTCTTTCTTTCTTTCTTTCTTTCTTTCTTTCTTTCTTTCTTTCTTTCTTTTGTTACGATTTTCTTCTTTTGTCGATCATCTCGGCGCCGATTCCGTTCTTTTAGTTTTTCGCAGATTTCTTTCTTTCTTTCTTTCTTTCTTTCTTTCTTTCTTTCTTTCTTTTTCACTAATGACGTGCGTTTTGCTTTGCCATCGCTAAAAACATTCACACTCTCTCTCACACTAAATTAAAATGAAACTTAAAACATTTAAAAACAAATCATATCATACGGTCATACCACTGAAACAGTGACCATCTTGGACATGAGCAACTGCGGAGGTTACTTTCTCAGAGAGTAAAAGAGACATAATAAGAAAAGGTACGCGTCGTCTCTTTCTTGGTCAATTTAGTGTCCAGCGTAAATCGTTAAAAGAAAAACTTACACCCGCGGGGTGTGGGGGATTATGAATAATTGTCGATAAATAAATCTTGACAAATATATCTCTCCCTCTTCGTTTTTAACATCTTATTTTTTTTTATTATCTTTAGCTTTTATTTCCCTTTCTTTACTCGTTATGAGTGTGACTGAAGAGAGAGACAGGGAGAATAAAAGAAACGTATAGGTGATCGAATACAATGAGTAACACTGGTTAAGAAGAGAGAGGCAATCATGCTGGTGGTTGATACTAAAATGGGAGGAGGAGAGAGAAAGAAGGAGAAAGAGAGACGAAAAGAGAGATCGTGGAAGATGAGATGGAAACCCACTGTGCCAGTGGGTTTTGTGCAAAATGCACAGGCAGCTACTGCTACTACTACTGCTATCGTCAGTTTATAGCGGTACCTGGCCGGTGATGCTACTGGTACTCTTGTTTCTTGGGCTAAGATAATCCTGATGATAATTTCAAATGATAGTATAGAAGCAACGACACTCGCTTACACTCATGGTTTTTGGTTGTTGCTCTTCTTGTTAACTGAAAATAAAAAAACAACATAACAATGATAATGAAATTTGTTATAATTCTCTCTTTCTTTCTTTATCCCTTTCTTTCTCTTTTTCTTTCTTTTTTAAGTTTTATGTAGTAGAGATAAAAATGTACTGTGTATCACTAGGACATTTTTTCTCTTACCAACCATTCGCTTTATTATTTTTCCATCTTTTCCTGAGTGAAAGAAAGAAAGAAAGAAAGAAAGAAAGAAAAAGAAAAAAGAAAGAAAGAAGGAAAAGTTCTTACATTTTATTTTACGCATTATTATTCATTTTTAACTCTGGCTTACTATCATCAACTTTTGTATTTTTTTTTATCATAACTTTATTTAGGCCGTCAATCTACGGCAGTGAGTTGACTGCGCAGGATCAGTAAGATCTCGATGTGTCAAAAAATAAAGTGAAATAAAGATAATTTTATAAGTTATAATTTTTTTTCCAGAAATAAAGAATGTTTTTTTTTTTTTTTTTTTCGAATGATCGCTTTTTTTCCCTCAATATTCACTTTCAGACATTCTAGAAAATTTCTCGCAAGGATCTGTGGTACAGCTTTCTTTCAGTCTCTTTCTCTCACTATTGGTCTCCTCTTTTTCGGGGTATTTTTTTTAGTGTGTGTGTGTATGTGTGTATGTGTGTGTGTGTGTGTGTGTGTGTGTGTGACTATTCGTCCTTTGCTATGACAGTGACTTATCTCTCAGAACGAGAGCTTGACATAAATTCTGTTAAATTATTAATGTAAATAATAACGTACATAGAATGATGTTACGTTTTTTTTTGTTATGTTTTTGTAATTAGATTCTCCGTTCATTAAATTATTCTTTTTTTCTTCTTCTTTTTTTTGTCCTATTTCATGATGAAATCATTGAGAAATGAGTGTCCTTGACTAGCGTGTATTTTACATGCATAGGAAAGGACTGACTTGCTTATTGAAGACCCACGTTGTGAAAGTCTAAAACGAAACGCCTACATGCCAGTTCGTAGCCTCTATAATCGACCTTAACCAATTTGTGTGTGTGTGTGTGAGTGAGTGAGTGAGTGAGTGAGTGAGTGAGTGAGAGAGAGAGAGAGAGAGAGAGAGAGAGAGATAGAGATAGGGTAAAAGAACAGTGTATTCTATCGGATATGTAACCATGGCCAATTATTCCACGTTTATTAATTTAAAGATTACATTACAACGTATTTTCATTTCTGTTGCGTTTTCCCCTCTCCTAATAGAGACTTTTTGTTCGGATTGATATATCACTTTAGCTTGAGAAATACATTTGATTATTATTACACGATTATCTTTACATCAGACTCTTATGATGACTTCCGGTGTGGGGTCAAGTGGCAGCAGGTCTACTCAGACTTTCAACACACTCCAACTGCCGTGGTTTAAATAATCTCACTTCGTCTCGGGATTTAGAAGTGTTCCAGTTTTTATCGTAACGTCTTTGAAACGTTCCCAGTGCTCTAAAGATTGTGGGCACAATGGTCATCTTCACATTGATACGAGTATATTTTTCCACTTAAAACTATTTGGTAGATATCGTTATACATCAAGTGAGTGTAGTTTTTTTAAAGTTACCATATTAAAAAGTAAAAGAGTTGGTTTTGTAGTGGTTGATGCAGAATGTTGTTTTTTTTTATATTTAAAATGAATGAACACTGAGCAAACGCTTTTTTTTTGTTTTTTTTTTAATCGGTGTCACCTCAAGCAAGACTGTAATGCCACTAAAACGCAAGGAGTTACAGCGTGTGAAAGAATTAGGGACAGAAACATTAATGATGAGCAGAATGAGAAGAGAATTATCAGGAGGACAGTAGATAGTGATTGACATTGCATTTAAATTTTTGCAGATTAAAGTTGGCTGGAAAGCATGGAGCCGGAAGGGTGTTCCACAAGCGAGAAGTGCGAGAGAAGAAACTGTTTTAGCACAGAATTTACGGGTACATCTAGCCAGCTCAATTGTAAATTGATGAAATCTCGACGCCAGTCTAGTACCGTGCTTTAATTAAAAAAAAAAAAAAAGGTACCATAGCGAACAACGATATTTATTCTGTTTTTTACAGAAATGTGGCACAAGGCCGAAAAGGGGATTGGGGAAAGGACGGTCTTCTTGTTTTAACTATAACTTAGCTAGCCTCAAACACTGACCCAATCGTACGAACAATAATACTTACACCAAAACAACACATTCATACGTACCTTTCTTACTACAACCACCATAATACCTCTTTGTCTCTATGAAAATACTAACTAGTCCCCATATTTACAATTCATTGTCCGTGGGGGGGGGGATAAAACAACAATTCTAAAAAACTAGCCCCAATGAGTATTTACAATATGAACACAAAAAACTATAGCGAAGGACTCATCCGAATAATTACCATGAAAGTATTTATAGAAAAGACACAGAGAAGCAATCTCATGGCGGCGGGAACGTAACTAGAGCGGAGGCGCCAGTTCACGACCAATAATATTGCTGATTCTTCTTTGGATCTTATCAAGGAGCTCAAGGTAAATAGCAAGAGAAGCGTACCATATGTTACAGCAATATTCTAAGCATGGACGAATGGTACAGATATGATTGATAGATTCTGGAGAGAAAACTTGTCTCGCTCGACATAATGAACCGACTTTCTTAGCAGTTGACCTAGCCATGGGTTCAATATAGTATTTCTACTTCATATCAGCAAAGAATGTGAGCCCAAGTGGTTTATCATTTCTTTTTATGAATACAAAAAGAAAT